CACAACAACATTCCGGACAAATTGAACATTCACACTTTCCCATCAACGACCACATTTACAAAAGAGCTTCTATTACAATTGTAACCTAAACAATACTGATTGTATCGAAAAACCGTTGTGCTGCTCGCGAGAAATTAAGAGTGGGAGGAATTTTGACGCGCGCACCACAACCTAGCGTAGAGTCCTTCGGTTTACAGGCTCACGCGACCATAAAGGGACAATTCAAAAGAAACAAGAACAGTAATGGAACTAAACCAGAAAACACAATTTTTGCAAAAAAAAAAATATCAACCATACACAAATAAAACTCACTTTCGTGTCATATCCTCCAAGTCTTCAAGAGTCTTCTCAGTGTGATATGCTCGGTGCCATGCGCTCGCATGCCATTGGCAGAAGAGCTCAATGGTCCGAAGAATCTTCCGTTTCACGTTCTGTCGCATCAATAGGACTGGTAGAACCTGCATAACTGCCTGGTGCTGAAATGCGTAAAAGGTTTTATTACCACTAAAATAGCCGTCAGTATGCGCCGGGATCCGGAAAAATGACTGTCGACTATAGTCAGTAATGTTTGCTAGGTCCGCATCCATATTCGTCAACACCTCGGTCGACAACTGCCGCTTTAAACACCCTAAAATATGCTTGTAGACGCCTAAACTACTCATGTGCATAAGATCGACCATCAGTGTTCTATACGGATTCCCAAACTCCTCCGTCGCAAAACGAAAGCCCCATAGGGCACACTCAACTCCATGCGTACTATGCTCAACCTCTAAGTCGTTTCTTCTAGTCTTGCTCGCCGCACTCTCTATTTCGCTCACTATTTTTTTTTGCTGCTCCTCGGTTCTATAAACAATGGGCTGTGTCATATTGTTCAGTTTCGTGCGATGAACCATACACTTTGGACACGGAAAGGCGGTGCTCATTCCTGATTTCGTACCGGCGACCTTACACTGTTCGGGATAGTCGCCGACGTACGCGTATGTCACAGGATATACCCAGCGCTGAACCCCGTATGGATCGGTCAAAAGCTCGCCTCTGTTCATAGAAAAACAGCAAAATACAACTTTAACAAGGATTAAAAACACGAAGGAGACTATATGTGAAACACTTGTATATCGAATTCGATTGCACCGAAAAAACCGCTGTTCCGCTCGGGTCAATTGTGCTCCCGAAATTTCACGCGCACAAAAAACTCCCCGTACAATCCTTCGCGTTTGTGGCTCAGATGAGCTTTAAGTCACCCTTGCCTTGCACAAGATAACAGTATTGGAAAGCAACAGAAAATGCACTATACTCCAATGAAGTAAGAGAACAATGCAGAGATTGAAATAAAACGATCAAGAAAAACACCAAAGGAGCTTACTCTTTTTCAAAGTGACGTTGTTCTTCCAGTATTAGTCGTAGTGCCTCCTGAAACACCTCGTGTCGACGTCGCGTCTCCTCGGCCTTTGAAAATGTTTGTTTGTCAATCTCTGGTAGAAGAGCACACAGGCGGTGGCCATGTGATTTCCAGCGATTCGCCGATGATATGTTTGCCAATGAAACGTAGACGGGCCATCCGACAACACCACCATCAGTCGTCAGTGTTGTCTCGTCAGAATAAATAATTACAGCCGCTATTACTTCTTCTTCCTCCAGTTTGGATTGTACACTGCGCCACCACGTTCCAGTCTCTGGCCCCTTATATATTACCCACGCATTTTCAGGTAATTCTTCCGGCTCGACTACAAAGCCGTCTGCATTTGCAGGATTCTGATACAATCCACGGACACATGACATTGTCGGCCTCCAATATAGGTATATTGGTTTTGAATCTCCAGGTTTGCTCACGTCCACCTTTAAAAATCCGGTCAGATCTGTCTCTGCCGTCTTCGCCTCTTCATACCTGCTGAATTCAGCTAAGGACTTAAGGTTCACTTTGCCAGGATTTTCCAGGGCTTCAATGACGATGTCGATCAACTCCTTTGTGTCTGCTCTTGAAAGTCCCACACCACCCGCCGCTGTTTTACAGAATCTGAAGAGTCGAAAATCGATGTCCACTACGGTTGGGTTAGCACGTGGGGAGAAATCATATCCGGTTGTATCAGCGTTCGGTTGTGCGCTATCTGCCTGAGGCAGCGGTCGGCCAGCCAAATCTGCCTCTTGTGCAGCTGCTGACCTTCTCCTCTTTCTACTCTGGTTTTCTAAGGCTTGACCAGCCTCACGAAGTCTGGCTGCGTACTCCTCATCTCCGCCACCACCAGAAGCTCTTGATGAAGTCTCTGCTGCTTCGCAATACACGTGCTGCCCACGAGCAAGGTGACGTGCCTTCTCAAGAGAGGTTTTGAAGGTGACTTTACAACCTTCCTGGTCACAACTGTACTGCACTTCCTGGTCCGCCATAACAATAAGGGGTTGGATTAAATAACTCCTTATAATTTTACAGTGTACACACACTTGTGCACCAGCCAGAGACTACCACTCCAATCTAAACTAGTGGTCAAAACTCTGGCACCGGCGGAACAAGCGCGCTTGCAGTTGAAGGCGTTACGGAAGCTGCTACGTGGCGGTTGTTGGTGACGATGTCTAACCCCGTTGGGCGGTTGGAAGCTGAACCTGCAAGCGCAATAGAGGGTGTAAGAGTACGTAATGGGGCATTAGAACAAGGCCTCACTGAGAACATGTGACATTGATACAAATATACATAGAAAGTAAAACCCCAGAAAATGAAACAGCAGGTTACAAAGAAAAAAACAAATAAAAACACCAGAAACTAAGCCAGCAATTGAGCTCGAGCTTACCACTGCGTCAGGAGTTTACGTTGCAGTTGTCGCGTGAGGGATCAGATCAAGCGGTGGCGGAATGCAGGCTGCTGCGAGAGGGAGTAGAGATGGCCGTCGTTACGCTGGTTGAGTGGATCATCGCGAGTTCTGCGACAAGACACAAACTGTTGTGATCATGGTTAGCGTTGAGCAAAAATCAACTTCAAAATAGGAGTGTATCAAATCAGTACCACCCTAAAAGATACGAAAATGGCGGAAAACAAAACAACAGCAGTAGGAACAACGACTACATTAACTTACCGTAGCGACAACCCCTTCCCGCATCAGACACTGTATGGGCTTGCCAAGTTAAAAATAACCAAGTGCAGAGCAGGCACAAGGAGCATCTGAAGGCAAGCAGGGACTTGGTGAAAAGCAAAAACGGGGAAGGCTGGAACAGTCACAACAAAATGACGAGGGGTTCCCACGACCCCTCTGACTCTGCTCCGAAGTGTATCGACTCTGGTATTTCAGGGCGTGTTCGAAATCTGTTTCGAACACTCCCGTGACATCCGTTCTGTCGTGTCGGTAAATCCTGACCTTCGGTTTGAAAACTTATACCGTCGCGATTCTCCGGCATTCGACGACGGTTGTCGGCAACCCTTTTCAGAGACACCCTGAACGGCTCGAGTTCAAAAAGGAGAACCTGCCTCCCCACCATCCAAACTCGACGCGTGGCAACATCTGGTTTAGGCGGCTGCTGACCAAAGGATGTACCCAATCAGTACCCAGGATCGAGAATTTCGATGACATCTGTCACCTGATAGGATCGCCACCTGTCTAACCAGAAAAGTCGTTCTGGTAGGATCAGATTTCAGTATTGACAACATGTTCAGTTACATACGTCAGTATTGTGATATGTTAATTTACGATAAAATATGATCACACATTTATGCTGCTCATAACATTAACAACAATATCCTTACCACAATGCAAAATAAACACTTTCAACCAACTATTACATATAGAATTAACAACCCTAAACAATCTAAACGCCCGTGTGGGAACGATATGCATTTTCAAAACCTCTAAATCCGCAAAATATAATTATCCCGTTTAATATACTTATACAAATATATTAAACGCACTACAAATATAACCACTTGTTGTTTCAACCAGTTGGTAACTGTATTGCGCGAGCCTCAATTCACTCCCACCAAACCTACCAGCCGAGCCTGCGTAGTTGACATCAAACACCCAGAAACACGCGCACCACTTCACATCTCACGCAATACCCCAACAACACTCCCACGAATCATGCGAGCAACATTCTCGCATGATTCCCAACCCCTGGAAGACGAGGAAGAAACAAACAAGATTCGCGCATGTCACAATCCCCTCCCCCCTGTTTTGCGATGGCGGGGAGCGGAGGCGTGGAGAACGTGGAGCTGTCGAACGACGGGTCGCAGTGGACGAGCATGACGACGTACGGATGGGGCGCCACGTGGGTGCTGAATCCCGCCAAGGACGTTGTCGATGCGGGGCTCCCGGTGAGCGTGCGCGTGACGGGCGGCGGGCAGCAGGTGGTGCTGCAAGACGTGATTCCGAGCGGATGGAGCGCCGGGACGACCTACGAGAGTGACACCAACTTCTAGAGGAGAGTCGTCGCGAGATGGGCGTATAGGTGCAACACTTGCTGCTAGAAACGGGACGTCCTGTAACGAGGTGGTGCGGCGCAGGAGGGTGCTTGCAAATAATGCTGCCACCGTGGCATGGTGGTGTGCACAGCAGTGAATAAATGCCCAGCCCTCTATGGAGGTGGATGAGCTGAGGCTAAGTGTGATCCGATCAGATGCTAGGAGTAATTAGTCATTCCGCTAGGTATTGCTAGGTTGCCGCTGCGAGCTCTCCCATTCCTTACACTGTCATCCATTGTTATTCCAATCAAATGGGAGCGGTACACTCCAAGTAGAAAAACGTTTCATAGAAAAGTGAGTGCATCTTCAGAGAAACGTTCCATAATAAGCGATTTCATTTCTGAAAAGTACAGAAGAGAAAATATTCCACTGTGCAAAATGTTGTGACATTTATTGACACTGCTTTCTAAAAAATGCTATAAATGCCAAGACCTGGCTGGGGCCACCTATTGAGGGGCTTTGGTTGGTGGAAAATAACATCAGGCCGTTCCACTCTACTCTCTGCAGACCTCTCACTCCTCCCTTTATTCCATAAACAACTTTCTGCTTTCCCCTTGCGTCACTAACTACCATGCTGAACCCCCTGAAGACGAGCCAGCTCCAAGCTGAAGTCGACCTGCTCGGAGCTCTCGATCTCGTGGTCAATCCTAACAGCCATGCGGTCCTCGTCCTCCCCGAAGAACTCCTCCTTGAGCAGCAGCAGCTCTGCCAGCACACGGCTCATGCCCGGGCGAGACGCCGTGGGCATGGCGGTGCAGGTGAGCGCCAGGCGTGCCATGCGCAGCACCAGGTCGTCCGGTGCTTGCAGGTGCGGGTCCTTTAGTGCCGCCACGTCCCCTGCTGCCACCAGCGATGCTGCCTGTTAGTGCATCAATCGGGGGAAGCAAGGGAGCAGGGGAGGGATGAGGGGAAGAAACGGAATGGAGAGTTAAGAGTTTTTACAATGAAGAACGAATGTGCAAGGATACCATGATATGGACAGAAGGATGAACATTGAAAGAATTGGGCAAGGTGTCGGAGCAATACCCACCCATTGCTTGAGGTTGACTTGGTTTGACTCGATGTTGTAGATGGCCTTGCGAGCCGTGATCACCGCCAGCATCACCACTCCAAAGCTGCAGGCAGATGGGAAGTAATGCAGTGAGGCAGCAGAGAAGATAAACAGCAGTCAGCAGGGTAAGGGATCAAGGCAGTCAGCAGAGTAAGGGATCAAGGCAGTCAGCAGGGAAGGGTAGCAAGGCAGTCAGCAGGGTCAGGGAATGAGGCAGTCAGCAGGGTAAGGGAAAAAGGCAGTCAGCCTTGGGAGTAACCATGTGCGAGTGGTAATAAGCAGGATCCACGCGGCCTGGTGTGCCCGTGTCGGAGTGTTTCCTAGAATTCTAAAGAACACGTGAACACCATATAATCCCGCACCATGACGGAGTATTTTTTGGAATTCTAAAACACTCGCAAGTAACATATCACCCGCACCTGTGCACGTCGGCCTTGGGAGTGGCCTTGTGGGAGCGGTAGTAAGCGGGGTCCACATAGCCCGGCGTGCCCATGACTCGGGTAGCGGCCACAGATGTACCTTCCCCAAGTCGCACCAGCCCAAAGTCAGCGAGCTTGGCGTGCATGCGCGCGTCCAGCAGCACGTTGGCGGGCTTGATGTCGCGATGCACGATGCTGAAGCCGTGCAGATACTCCAGCCCCCGCGCCATGCCCGTCAGGATGCCCAGTCGTTGCTGCATTGTGAGCGGGTGGGGTGCATCTGGGAGGAGGAGGCATGGCAGTTGGGAGTTGGGCAGCTGGGTGTGCTTATGAATGGAACAAGAGTCTCCAGGTTGATAGAATAGATGGCATAGACGCAATGCATTGCAGGTGCGTAAACAGCTCGAACAGGACGGTTGTAAAGCTGTAGCAACGTGTTAGGTTGTGCAAATGTAATGGATAGAACGATGGCTACAGAATTCACCAGTCTGTTGACAAGAACAATGCATACATGACGGGATGCTAAAGATTCTCTTTCATTTTTTTTCTGTGCGTGTGTTTTTTTTTTTTTTTTTTTTATACGATACAAATCGTAAAATACTCTTGATATCCTGTACAGCCTTACATGGTTCTATCCACACACCTTGTGCAAGCAACACAAAAAACCACCTTGGCTCACCAGGTCCGATCCAGCGGTCGAGGTCGCCGTTGGCCATGAACTCATAGACCACGATCTGCTCCATGCGCTCCGCCTCGTAGCTCATGTCAAAGCAGTACCCCAGCAGCCTCACCAGGTTCGGATGGCTCTTGGTCGCCATCTCGTTGATCTGCCGGGGGGGTGGTGGGGGGAGGAAGCAGAGCCGAGGGAAGCGGGGTGGGTGGAAGCAGGGCGGTTTCTGAAGAGCAGCCGCACCAGCTTCGGATAGCTTTTCGTCGCCATCTCGTTGATCTGCATGGCCGTGGGTTGGGAGGGGGCAAAGGGGATGGGGGGAGAGGGGGGGAGGGAAGCAGGTTGGGAGATATAAGGTTGAGAGGAAGCAGGTTTGGGGTAATCAGGTTGGGGAAAAGAAGGGTGAGAGGAAGCAGGTTCGGTGTAATCAGGTTGGGGGAAAGAAGGTTGAGAGGAAGCAGGTTCGGTGTAATCAGGTTGGGGGAAAGAAGGTTGAGAGGAAGCGTGATGGGAGGAAACAGTTTGGAAAGCAGGATGGGAGAAGTAGGTTGGGAGGAAGCAGGTTGGGAGAAAGGGGGTTGGGAGGAAGCAGGTTTGAAGGAAGCATCTTTAGAGAAAGCAGGTTGGGGGGAAGCAGGTTGGGAGGAATTTGGTTGGGGGGAAACTGGTTGGGGCGAAGAAAAACACCCTACAGACAAGGTTGGCAGCGACACCTCCCTCGTACCCCGCTACCGAAACCAATGCCAAGTATGATATGCGTGGTTATCTCAGAGCTTGATATTGCTGAGATTACCAAGCCAATGCAACACATGGCAGGGAGTCTCACCTTTCGCCGGAATTCGTTAGTTGCACGCGGCCTCGCTTTTGAGATTTCATAAAGCCGATGCGACACATGGCAGGGCGTCTCACCTCGCGTCGGAAGTCGTTGGTGAGCACGCGGGCTCGCTTCACAGCCCACACCTCCTTGGGGTTCCGCGGATTCACCCCCCTGTACACATCGCCAAAGCTGCCGCTGCCTATGCGGTTGCTCTCTGCCCACTCCCCTGTCGCTTGAGCCATCTCTTGCAGAGTGAATCGCTGGCACACGTCTAGCCCAGCACCCCCTGCAGCACAAAGCAGTGGCTGCACTGCTGGCGCTGGTGGAGCTGCTGGAAATGCCACTGCAGCAGCTGCGGCAGCTGCAGCGGCTGCTGCTTCTTCTGCTGCCCCCACTGCTGCTGGTGTTGCTGAGCGCCCTGCTTGGCACAATGATTCGCTTGATCGTCCCTTTATCCCTGCTTGACCCACCTCTAATGCCGCCGCCGCCGCTGCTGCTGCTGCGGGTGCTTCTTTTGCTGCCATTGCTGACGCAGAAGGTATGTCAACAACCACTTGCCCTAGGACCACTCCAGCTCCTGCTGCTGCCACAGCTGGCGGTGCTGCTGCCACTGCTGGTCGTGGTGGTCGTGGTGCTGGTGCTGCTGCTACTGCTGGTCGTGGCGGTCGTGGTGCTGGTGCTGCTGCCACTGCTGGTCGTGCTCGTGGTGCTGGTGCAGCTGCTACGACTGCTACTACCGCTGGTGCTGCCGTTCCATTAAATGCCCCGGTCAACCTTTTAGGTACCTGTGCCGCAGTGGGTGATGTGATTATTTTTGGAGGCTGCTTGACCGGTGGCGGTGCGACACGTGGCAAACGATAATTGTTGGATGGTGGTGTGAACTTGGAGGGTTTGCCTGCAGAAGCTGGAGGCATCGGTCCTGGGACCACGTGACCACCCTTGCTTGAAAGGTCAAAGAAACCCACCAAGCCAACCCATATTTTTTTTAGAGTATCGGAAAAAACGGCCAGCAAAAACAACAGGAGGGTGGCACCAGCTACAGACCCTGACACAATGGCTATGACTTTGTCCATGTACATTTTGAGATACACTGCTTCTACATCGCACGAAGAAATGTGGCTTCCAGCAATAAGCTGGAAGCCTTCCTGGTGACTCCCGTTTTCGGGAGTCCTGCCAATCGGCTTTCAATACTGGGGGGTAATTGTGGGGCAACAGAACCACCCTGCAGTCAACCTGCGCACTGCCGAAACCAACCTGCGAGGCGATTGAAATGTGTAAGTTGCGCATTGCATGTCAGTTGGGGCGAGTAATCTAGTTTGTTACTTTCGGAAATGAAAAGGAGGCCCTCGCACAGGCAAGAATTGACAAGCTCAGTTGTAACCACTCGCGTAACAAAATTGTTAAAGATGGTTACCGCGTGATAACAATATGCGTATGTATAAAAGCGATAAAGAATAGTTTAGTGGATATTTGTTCCTTTTGGAGATGTGACAAGGCGACATTTAATTGAGATAACTACACTGCTAATATTATGATCAATAGAATTTCGAATGGGTTTATTATCAACAAATCAAAACAATTCCGTAATAATAATTAAATAATATTAAACGCTTACAATACTAGTTGGTTAGAAATTAATCAACAAAATATCACATACTAAACCTACAGCTACATAAAGCTACTAAACATCCTCTACCATCTGCCAATCCTTAACAATGACATCTCCAAAATAGTAGAACCCACTGACTAGTGGAATGCTAGCGTGACGTGTGAAACAAGGAAAACAGGAATGAAATGACTATGGAAGATTGGGTACAAATACAACCCTAGAAACCCTGTACCCCATATGTGCTACCCCACTATAGCCTACAGAAACTATGTCATATAAATCTGACACACCCCCATAGGCAAAGTGGGGGAGAACAAGGGGTCACAAGACCAGTCAGGTAAAGCAAAGCAGAGCAAGCTCAGGGTGGATCACAACGTCACCACACAGTCCGAGCACAAGAGCAGGGCCAGAGGCCAGTTCACATGCAGGAGTACAGACATATATATATAGAACTAGACAAGCAAGAGCAGGTATATATATATGTCACAGTACAAGTGAAGTCAAGAGGAGAGCAAGTGAGGCAAGACAGGCACAAGACCCAGCTGGGTGAAAAAGCGCTGATGGTCACAAGGCGCGAGTGCCTTGGTGAACACATCAGCAGTGTTGGCCTCAGAGGCCACGTACGCAAGTCGCAACTGACCACGCTGCTGCAGCTCACGAGCAAGGAAGTAGCGGAGAGCAATGTGCTTCGTTCTGTGCTCCAAGCGCTGCTCTCGACACAAGGCCAGCATGGCCTTGTTGTCTACGTACAGCACGGGAGGAGAACGAGGCGGCTCTCCAAGGTCAGTCAGCAGGTAGGTGAGCCAGCGAAGCTCCTGTGCAGCCATGGCCCCGGCGTAGATCTCAGCCTCACAACTGGAGCCGAGAACCGAAGACGAGCGAGTAGACCGCCACGAGACAGAGCCGGAACCAAGGCTGAAGGTGTAACCCTGTGACGACCACTGCGTAGCCTGGTCGTCAGCCCAAGAAGCGTCCGCGTGGCCGGTAAGGACCACTGGACTCCGCCCTCCAAGCACTAGCCCCATGCCTGACGTGCTGCACAGGTAGCGCAATACCCTCTTCGCTGCAGCCATGTGCTCTGGTCTGTGTCTCCCAGGAGCAACATAGCGAGCAAGAATGCTCAGAGGGTATGCAAGGTCAGGTCGTGTGCAGGTCATCAGGTACATGAGGCAGCCAACAAGCTCTGCATACGGACCACTCGACTCTACGGACTCATCCGAAGGCAGAGCTGAGAGTGAGTGGCGAGTAGGCAGAGGAGTGGCCTGAGGCGAGGAGTACGTGAAGCCGAAGCGCTGAAGGACCTGCTGCACCATGTGTGACTGAGTCAAGGTAATGGTGCGGCGTGCTCTGTCCCGAGTGATCTGCAAGCCAAGGTAGCTGCGCAGTTCACCCAGGTCTGTGCACGTGTGTCTCTTCAGCAGCTCGGACTTCACGTAGGCGAGTCCAGCAGTGTCCGCTGTGGCAAAGACCAAGTCGTCGACGTACACGAGGATGTAGAACGGCGGCAGGGAAGTGTCGGTGCGAAGAAACAGCGACGGGTCAGCAGTAGAAGGAGCAAACCCAAGAGCCGCAAGCGTAGTCCTCAGTGTGTCGTGCCACTCACGCGGTGCCTGGCGGAGACCGTAGACTGGCCGTCGGAGGCTCCACTGGGTGCCAGGAGGGAAAGTCCCAGTGAAGCCAGGTGGACGGCGAAGCCAGATCTCCTCGTGCAGGCTACCCTCCAAGAACGCAGTGCTGAAGTCGAGAGAGTGAAGCTCGTAGTCGCGCTGAGCGGCTATGTGCAGCAGCACCCGAAGAGTAGTCATCTTCGGGGTGGGAGAGAAGGTCTGAAAGTAGTCAACTCCCTGCCGCTGTCTGAAGCCACGAGCAACGTACCGTGCCTTGAAGACAGGTGGAGAGCCCGGCGGCCGCTTCACCCTGAAGATCCACATGCCACTGACGATGTTCGCCCCATGAGGGGGAACCGCGTCAACGCAGGTGCCTGTGGACTTCCAGGAAGCCATCTCTGCATCCATAGCTGCCTGCCACTGAGAGGAGTAGGGACCCTCTACGGCCTCCGCGTAAGAACGCGGAGTCGGGATGTCTAGTGCATCCGGGTCTCCCTCAGGGGCAAGCAGTACAGACGCGAGATGAGGTGAAGCAGTCGCTAGACACTGTAACTCCTCCTGCCTGTCCTCTAGGACGTCCGTGCCAAGGGCACACTCACCCCCGACGGACGGAGGACAGACAGACGCAGACTCAGCAACAAGACCAGCAGCGTAGTCGAGACGACAGCGAGCAGCAAAGTCGACGAGCTCAGCGACTAGAGCAGACGCAGCAGTGGACTCAAAAGAGGGGTCAGTGACGACAGTAGCAAGCAGACGCGTGACAGTAGGACTGGCAGCACGAAGAGAGTCCGACCCAGGGTCGGCAAGCGCAGGAAGAGAAGACTCAGGAGGAGAAGGCAAAGGGGCACGCAGAGGAGCAGTGGACGGACGCAAAGACATCCGGTGCGTGCTAGGGACAGGAGGAGGACGCTGACGCGAACTGCGACCACTAGCGCGAGTAGTGCGAACAGGCGACGCGGGACGAGACGCAGGCTCACGACGCTCAGCAAGACCTCCAGTAGGACCAGTGTAGAGGGAGCAGGCAGTGGAGAGGAAGGCTCCAGCAGGGACTGCGACTGGACAGGCGGTGGACCCTCTACTAGAGGAGAAAGACCAAGAACCTGCTGCAGGAGCGGAACGAAGTACGGCCGAGGCCGCGCGGCAGCTCCAGACGCAGCAGGGACAGCACCAGCACCCTCAGCGACAGCACCAGCGCCACCCACACCTCCAGCGGCAGGACCAACAGAAGTAGGCTCAGCACCAGCGCCCGCAGCAGCTCCAGCTCCAGGAGGACCCGCAGGTCCAGCAGCTCCGGGACCGGCAGCACCCGCACCCTCGACGGTCGAAGAAGCTCCAGCTCCAGCTCCAGCAGCACCTCCAGACTCACCAGCACGCCTCCAGCGGCGAGCGAACCACTCGCGCAGCTCCTGTGGAGAGAGGGGCTCCCGGCGAGACGCAGCAGCAGGAGAAACCCCAGGCTCAGCAGCTCCAGACTCAGCACCCCCAGGCCCAGCAGCTCCCAGCTCAGCACCCCCAGACTCAGCAGCTCCCGACCCAGCACCCCCCGGCTCAGCACCCCCAGGCTCCGCACCCTC